ATTTAATTCTCAAAAGAACCCTGTAGGATAGTTACTATTAGGAGTTCTACTTTGTAGATGAGGAAATAGAGGCACAGAGAGGTCAAATATCTTGCCCAAGGTCACACAGCTAGTAAATGGTAGTCATTCTGTCTCTGAGAGCACAAGTTCTTAAGCACCTCTAGATAAGCCCGTGCACAGTCAGACGAATCTAGAAGTCTGTTCAAGATTGAATTAATTAGAATATTGAGAGTGTTCAAGATTGCAGATTCTCAGCATGCACCCCTATGTCCAAGTAGATAACCAAACACTCTCTTTTTCTAAGCAAAAGCATCCTCTCGAATAATACTGCCAGTAAAAATACTTCTGGAAGGCAGCTGGGAATACACATTAATACATCGATGGACGACAGGGCAGAGGAAATGAATGACCGTATTAGGCCGTGGAGCAGTCGCTGTGAGACTATGGAGTTTCATGCCTCAGGACCCTCCCGAGAGCACTGTCTGTGATCACATTTTAGCTTCCAAAGCATATGTTGGTAAAATTTACAGGCATCCGTCTGTCCAATGACTGGTAGAAACTTGAACCAACAATACTTGGCCTTAGGCCTCTCTGTGCTCAGCTTCAGCAGGTTCTAGCCATGGTCACCTCTGTCTGTCCTCAGGGCAGTTAGCCTGTGACTCTGCCACGACAAATCCATTCTGAGATTGCGCTTTGCTAAACATCCTTTGAACTCTCTGGACTCAAGAGCCTGATGTGCATTTGCTCTGCTTGTGATGTCTGCGTGAGTTCATCCACCAAGGTGCCAACGGACCTGGACAGGGCTTTGAAATCTTCGTCTCCATCCAAGAACTCTCTCCTGAGCTCTGGTTCCTTTCTAATCTTTGCGCTGTCCTAGAGCACACTGGTGACCGGCGAGCACACAGCAGCAGGGGTGGAGGTGGGAATCTGGGCAGGTACGATCCCAAGGCTTATAGATGGCTGAAGCCATAGAGCAGGTGGGGCGTTTTGTGCCTTGGAGAATGCCCAGGCCCTGTGTACCCTAGACTCTGGCTCAGAAGGTCAAGACGTGTCTAAGTCAGAGGTCACAGCTGAATGCTGGATTTGGGATACAAAGGGATTCCAGCCTTCATGTCTGAGGGAGGATTCTGGTATGAGCTGTGCTGTGAGAGCCAGACCTGTGGCCTCTGCTACAGGAGGTGGTGAAAGTAGACCTGGTGTTTGGCTCCAGTAGTTCCCTCAGCAAATTCCCCCAGACCTCTACAGTTCTAGCTCATTCCACACTCGGCCTCATGTTTCCATCTAGCAGACAGCTCCAGCCTAGAGCTGGAGCTGTTGCCACCCCACACACGTCCTGGCCAAAGCAGAGCCCACGGCCTTGGCGGCTACATCCCGTGCCAGTCACAGGTGCACTGAGGACCTGGGGTGAGACTGTCACAGAGGCACAGGCCCCCTGAGGGCGTTCCTGCAGGATTCTTTCCTCCCCTCTGTTACCCTCTCCTGTCAGTGACAGCCCATGTGTCTACCTTGGAAAGTCTTGGGTTCTGTGGCCTAAAGTCTTGTGTCTGTCCACACCGAGCCAGGGCCCCTGCCTCAGATGAGGATGGGCCCAGCTCCCCTCCCCTTGCAGGTGGAGCTCACCCTGCCTGCTGCATGGTGTGGGCCTGTTCTACACCTCATGTGATTGTGCCAATGACACTTCACTGTTTTCCCTGCTGGGATCTCGGGCGTGCCTCTGGGGAGAGGGACAGCCGTCTGCCCATCTGGCTCCCCTGGATGCTGTGCTCGCTTCAGAGCATGGTCACTGCCTCTGGCCATGCACTTGCAAATGCTGCATGCTGGCCATAAACACCCTGGGCAGGACCAGGACCGACTGGCTCTGAATCTGGACTCACCCGGCAACCCAGGAACCTTGAACAGTTTAGAGCATGTGTGCTCCTCTGTCAAGTGGGCATGATCACTGGACCCACCTCACAGGGCTGATGTGAAGATGGAACGAGATGGTGAAAATTAGTTCACGTTTGCTGGGTTCTGTTCTCAGAAGGACCAATTCTCAGCCAGAACACTCTGCTGCCTCCCAAAGCCATTGACGGACTATGTCCTTTGCTCTCTCGTTTAATACCTCTGGCTTGGAAAGGCATTACTATTCCTTTTGTTTGCCTTGATTCTTTATTCTTTTTAAACATGAACTTCAGAGAACTCTACATTCTCTTTTCATAATATGTCTAAGTAAGTATGGCAGACAGCAGACTTGTGGAACTCAAAACTGAGATTCATCTCCAAGGCGTGTTGGTTCTAACAGACGGATAGGGACATGGGCATGCTTTTCTTTCCTGAGTTCCCATCTATGGAGGCTCGCTGAGGAGCATCTATCAAATAGAGCTTTCTGAATACACAACCTCAACCTGCTTGGTGGCCATGGTTATATGTGCAGTGATGTTGTGAGCAGAGTTTGTTTTACCAGTTATGCCTCTGTTGAATAAAAAATGAGCACTTATCTTGAAGGGAGAAGAGGAAGTCTGCCCCTGATAATTTGTAATTCTCTCTTGGGTAAATAGATTCCTAAGAGTGCAGCTCTGTAGAACTGCAGTCGCATTTGTTAACTCTGCGGTGACGTTAGCATGAGCATCCCACGTCCTGGTTATTGATCTGTTGCTGCGATAGGGTACTGCCCAGTTGAACTTTCGACATTGGAGGACTTGCAGTGGCTGCAATTGCGTTTTTCTTTTATTCCGCAACTTAATTTAAGTTGCACATCCAACTTATTCTCTATGAAAAAGTTTTGTTTTGCAAGACTCTGCATAAGAGATTGTTAAACACACCTTTCTCTCTGTCTCTCCCTCTATCTCTGTCTCTTGGTAGGAATGTTAACTTCCAGCTTAAATCATGGAAATACACCTAAAAAATGAAATACTCAGGAACTAGCCATTAGGAGCTTGAAATATGTTACGTTCCAAAGAGATGCACAACTCCCGAATTCCGTGGGGCTGACTTGTCTAGTGTTAGTTAAATCAAGTAATTCCTTCCCCATGGACATATTTTCGCAATCATCCCTCCACACCTGGGGGAGGGAAGGGCTGGCAGTAGAGGTGGGTGACTCAGCCCGGAGGCTGTTACCTGCCCTTGCAGCACCTCACTGGCAGAACAGGTGGGTGGTGGATGCCGGACGTGCCACTGCAATCTCTGCAACGTGCAACTTGCACTCTCGCTTTGCGACACCTAGAGTCCGGAAGTTCATCACTGCGTTGGAACAGTGGTCTGTGTGATAATCCTTTCCGAGTTCTTCTGAGGGGAAGTTGTGCTACGTGAGGATTTGACCTGGCCCCGCGGCCATCGGTGAGCACTTGCGTTCAAGCCGAAGAGTGGAAAGTTCCTTAAGGACAAAGAAAAGCTAATTATTGTGCCACTAACTCCTACCAGAATGACTAGGCGAAAAGACAAGTGCTGACAAGGATGCAGAGCAGTTGACACTCTCAGACTTCGCAGGTGGAGGACCAGACGGGGCACTCGGGCAGGACGGCTTGGCAGTTTCTTATGAAGTTAAACATGCAGTTGCCATGTGGCCAGCAAACTGCTCCCGGGTGGGTGCTCTGGAGGAAAGAAACATCACACAAAAACATCTACATGAATGTCCGTAACAACTTTATTCATAATCGCCAAAACTGGAAGCAACCCATGCGTCGTTCAGCAGGTGAACGGTGAGCTCACTGTGGCACGTGGGACCCCACGGAACACTCTCAGCAGCAAAGGGAGCACACTGTGGATGCAGCAGCGCGGGTGGATCTCGAGGGAATTATGCTGAGTGAAAAAAGCCAAGCCCCAAAGAATGCGCGCCGGATGGTTCCTTGTGTATGACCTCGTCTGAGGGACAAAGCCATAGTGGCAGAAAGCAGATTTACGGTGGCCCTGGGTTAGGGCTGGAGGTGAGCTGTGACTGCCGCGGGGTGGCGGGCCAGGGGCGATGGACCTGTCCTGTGTCCCGGTTGTGATGGTGGTTGTGGAAATCCGCACGTGCAGTAACAGGTATAAAGCTGTACACCTAGAAAGTCAGTTTTACCCCACGTTACTTAAAAAAATAAAAATATATACATTTTTAAAAAACCTCCTTTATGTCACTGGAAGACATAGCAGGAGGCATGAGTAGAACTGAGTTCCCAGGACTGCGTGTGCACACGTGTGTGGCACACGTCTGTGAACATGCCTGCAGTGCGGCAGGCTTACACTTATTTGAGAACATAGCTTGGGAGCATGCTCAGAACATGCTTAGATTTTATAATATAAATAAATTGATTCACAATCATTTATTATGAAATTCCTTCCTTTGTTGGTCAGTGAGCAGTTCTGTGATGATGATAATGGCGATTAGCGAAAGAGGCAGAATTCCAGCAGCTCTGAGAACAATAGCAGAGGATGTCACGGGAGCAGTGTATGGAGGAGGGCGTGGCCATTCATGGTGTCAGGGAGGTCGCACAGAGGGCCTGGCCGGGTTCTGAAGGACTAGAGGTCCGCCTTGTGTGCGAAGGGAGAGAATTCCGTGCGGAGGCTACCCCCTTAAACAGAAGCCCACACTCCCTCGCCTGTTCGGGAAGTTTCAGAGGGGAGCTGGAAGGGAGGCTGGGAGCAGACCATGTGGGCTGCTTCGCATCCATAGCATAATCCTTGGTGCTTTCAGCAGTCACAGGCTGTCCCTTGGGGTTTTGCAACCGGCAGCATTTGTTGCCAGAGAACCTCTCTGATGTTCCAAATAACGGTCACAAAGACCCTCGAGGCAGGTATTGGCAGGTTCCTCTGCTGGGAAGGAACAAACTCTGGCCCAGTCCTGCCCTTGTTCACACCCACGCCCTGAGTGCGGCCTCCCCACTCCCCCAGCGGGCTGGGCCCCCTCTTCTGCATCCAGAGCAGCAGGCAGCAGGCTGCCACCATTGCCGGAAGCTTCTCAGAGGTTGAATGCCACTGCCTCCCACCATCGTCACTTCTGCTCAGCCCAGGAGTGGGAATCCCCCAAACCTTGGTTTAAGTATTTCACTTGATCTTGAAACAGAGTGACATTTATGTGTCTTTTAGAACAAGATATCTGGGCATAGGCCAGGGCCACTGCCAGTACATATGGCACCTTTGTGTAGGTTTAAAAAAGGTGCCCCTTCTTAATAGGCAATTACAGAGGAGCCCCCATTGCGGTGGGAACAGCTCTGCACCCCACAGAATATCTTGGCAGAGCTGAGCATGGGGTGAATTTCAACCCCTTAGTCACCTAAACCTGGAGACCCCGGGTACAGCCAGAGCCAATGGTTCCCTGAGGCCACAGACCCTAGGCCCCTCTTTCTTCTCCACCGTCTTGAGCAGGTTGGCCTTGTTTTTCATTCTCATTGCCCCACGGTCTTGAGAACTAGTTCATTTATTTTTCATTGGAAGAAACAAGAGACCTCACCCAAGGAGGTCTGAGCACACAGACAGGATGCAAACGCTTCCCCGGGCCGGGAGCCCCGTGCTGTGGGCATTTTCTGTCTTCTACCCAACATGCCCCAAACCTCAGACCCATCTCTTCCCGAAGTGTGGCTGCTTCTGTGTCCTGCTTGGCTTCCTCGTACGTCCCCAGCATGAGGAGCAGCAACAAAAGGAAAGCGGCGTCCGAGAGGGCTGTGGAGTGGCAGGTGGGAGCACAGGGGTCGGGGCAGAAGCACCCCAGCTTAGCACAGCTGACCCTCCTCGCCCAGAGCCTCCGTGTGCTCAGCTGCAAAGGGTGACAGTGGGTTGTGTCCCTGCCCCCGTCCAGTTCAGAGGGCAGGACTGCCCTGCAGCAGGCCTGTGTGCGGCTCCGCTGGCGGCCAGGCCCCTCACTCCCGGGCCTCCGTCCCGGCCTCCGCTAGCGTCCCCCTCACGCTGGAGCCCAGGCTGAGTCCCCACCGCCCCCTCTCCTAAAGCTGGTGGTGGACGTGGTGGACACAGCCGGGCCCACCTCAGCCCAGGTCAAGGCCAAGGCCCGGGCACGGAGGGCAGGCCGCTCGGGTGGGTGGTAGGTGGTATGCGTGTGGGGGGCGTCGGGGAACCCCTCTACTCCAGCCCTGCCCCTCACTGAATCGCATAAACGCGTCGGACCTCAGTCCCGGCCCGCCCTCGGCAGGGCTGGCTCTCCTCTGAGGCTGACAAACACGTCGGTCCCTTGTATCCACCCACCACATCGGATACTTTGCTTTCTCTCCCCCGAGGGAGCCTATTTCCTTGTCTTCCGTTCTCTTCTGTCCCCACCTTGACTAATGGACTAGTCCGCTAGGGCTGCCCTAGCAAACTGCCGCAGACGGGGCTTACGCAGCAGAAACGTGTTGTCGCACAGTCAGGGGGGCTGGAAGTCTGAGCGCAAGGTGTCAGCAGGGGGGTTTCTCCTGATGCCTGTCTGCTTGGCTCGTAGGCGGTCACCTTCTCCTGTGTCCTCACGTGGTCTTTGCTCTGTGCGTGTCTGTGTCCTAATCTCCTCTTCTTACAAGGATGCCAGTCGTGTTGGCTTAGGACTCACCCTAACAGCCCCAGTTTAACTTAATCAGCTTTCTGAAGGCCTTGTCTCCAAATACGGTCACGTTCTGAGGTACTGGGGTTAGGGCTTCAGCGTAGGAATTGGGAAGGGGGACATAATTCCGCCCATAAGGACTAATTTCCTAGTATCTGTTCCTTACCTGTCAAAAGATATCCGGGCGACACGGTTCACATAGTTCTTGTTAACTTTCGAAGCATTCAGAGCACGCGCAGGCGGATGGCTGACTCCAGAGAGGAGATGCTGCCGCGATTTCCGCAGTCTCGTGTGTTCAGCATCTTCTGCGGGGCAGGCTCTGTGCCAAATGTTCACGTACCTCTCGTTCGAATCCTCATCGTCATCCAGCAAAGCATTAATGGTGTCATCATCCCTGAGCACCAGTGACAGGACTGGCCCGAGGTCACACAGCTGACGTTTGAACTGAAGTCCGAATTCCTCCTGCACCCAGCGCCTGCAGCCAGCTACGGGACGGTGGCCTCAGGGTGCTCTCCTCACCTCTTCTCCATGAACACTTTCCCTTTCATTCCGGCCTGCTTTGATGCACCAGCGTCCGTCTGTATCTGACCCTCCAACCCCTCTTGCTCATAGAATCCCCCTCCAAACGTAGCAGTGGATTTTTGCTAACTGGTAGGAAATGTATGAAGAGTGAGATTAAAGGTACATAAAACAAGGGCTTTGGGACATACGGGTAGCAAGTAGCTGAATACAGCAACTGCCAGGCCTTTACTTGAGGACTAGAAAGAGAATCTGATCAGGATCCTCTGCAGGCTGGGGAGAGGCAAAGGAAAGTAAAACCAAACAGTCCTGGGAGAGGGAAAATGGTCAGGTTGCTACTCACATATTTAGAAAGTTCTAGGGCTTTTGCTAAGGGACCTACCAGGACATTCCAGCAGTTGGCCCACCTCTGCTGCCTGTTTTCCAGTGAATATCTGGATATGAATGTAAAGATTGGGTCTGAGGCCTGGAAATCCTCCTTTTGGAGTTTCCTTGATGCTTTCTGTGGGATCTGAAGTTGTGGTAAGAGAGTTTGCGAACAGAGAGTCAACATTATTGCAGTCTGTACTCTTGGCCCTAATACCTGAATCCGTCTATACTTCCTGCACCCCCAGGAGTCGGGGGGCTGCTTGAAGAGGGTCATTTTGAGCGCCAGCTGCTGTCAGGGAATAAACAGAAGTGCTTCCTGACTCATCTTCAGAGACTGCTCACTCTCCTGCAGTTCTTGAAATGCCGTAGACACGAGAGCGATTCCTTGGCTTAAATCCTGGTTAGTGATTGGGTTTGTCTAGTCCAGACTGGAGTGAAATTATATCGTCTGAAATAAAGGTGTGGCCCTTACCTGGCTTTGCAGCCACCTGCTTCAGGCCCTGCATCCTGCTCCTAGCTCCTGACTTTCCTACCAGTTCTGTAGTCTCCTCTGGTCTCACTGATATGCCAAGGATTTTCTCTAAGCTACTTCTCAGAGGCACCTGAGCCTTCCACAGAAACGTCAGTGCAAAGAAAGGTGTCTTGGTGAAAACCAGTGAGGAGTATACATTCGCCCCCTTTCATTGGCCATTAGGAATTTATTTCCAGTTAAACAAGCTGGGAAATGTAATTAAGCACATGGTTGATGGTGATAGCCAAGTGTGCATGCCAGAAAAACAATAGGTTCTTTAAAGATGCCAAGGACGGATATTATGCATCTTCTCTTGGAAACTGTATATACTTCACAATTCCGAGCCTCCTGTGTGCTGCCTCATATCTTCAATCAAATTATTATATTCCAGAAATATGCATAAGGGAAATGATTCTACACATTTTATGGTGGGTTGTTGCTTGTAGCAGTAATTGAAGTACCTTTTCCACTTATGAAAGTACTAATTTTATTTGTTTTTATTGCTTTTCTAGATGCAATTATTTATTTAGTGTGCTTTGGCTTTATTACATTATGTTTACTATAGGAACATCATAAAAATGTATGAAAACAACACATCAGCCAAGCCAGCCTGGTGACCTGTATTGAGAAAGCTAGTGTTATTTTTCATATCCAAACATAATGGAATAACTTAAGAATAAACAGATAATCTGCACTAGAAAACAATGCAATTTCAAGGTAATGTAATAAAACACCTGGACAATATGATTTCATAAATCTTGGTTCTAAAATTTACATGAGTTGGGTTTTGTGTGCTTATTTGAGGACACATGGCATTTCTAAATGGAATGATTATAACGGGAAATGTGATTAAACCGAAAGGCAAGGATGTAAACAGGGTTTTTGTTGCCTGGTAAGATACGGATGACTAAGGAGCAATGTAAAGACTTTTGGTGTCAAAAGACAAGCAGAAGATTCTCATTCCTATAAATGTCCTGAACTTTGAAATTGAAAAATGCTAGACAGTTGGTGCAGGTCACGTGGCAGTCACCTGGACCAGAGGTGCTGGCTTCAAA